AATGAAGTTAATTTTCTTTAATGAAGCCCTTGGTTTTGGTCTTAGGTCCCCTTTGAATCGGTTTTTGTGTATGGTGTGAAGTGTGGATCTTGCTTGAGTTTTCTGCATTTAGATCTCCAATTTTGCAAATACCATTTGTTAAAAAGGCTGTCATCTCTCCCTTTAACTGATTTCAACTCCTTGTCAAAAATCAGTTAACCTTAGGTAGATGGGCTGATATCTGGATTTTGAATTCTATTCCATTGACCTATGTGTCTGTCATCTTACCAGTACCACACTCTCTTGACCACCATGGCATTGCAGTAGGATTTGAAATCAGGGATTGAGATGCCTCCTACCTTGTTTCTATTTTTAAGGAGTGTTTTGCTTATTAGCGGCATCTTTATATTCCAAATGAACCTGGAGATTGCCTTTTCCATCTCATTGTAGTATGGGATTGGTATGTGTATTGGGATTGCATTGAATGTGTAAATTGTCTTTGGTAATTTTGTCATTTTCACAATATTGAGTCTTCTTATCCACTAGCAAGGGACATTCTTTCACTTCTTAAGGTCTGTTTTTGTGTGTGTATGTGTGTGTTTTTTTAGTAATGCTTTGTAATTTTCTTTGAATAGATCATTGTGTTTCTACTCCCAAGTATTTAATCTTGTGATTAGCTATTGTGATGTGTATTGTTTTTCTTAGCTCTAGCTCTGTATTCTCTTTGTCATTATATAGAAATCCAATTGAGTTTTGTACGTTGGTCCTGTATCCTGCCACTTTGCTGAATTGGTCAACTATGTCAAATAGTTTCCTTGCTGAGCCTTGAGGATTTTCTAAGTGTATTATCATATCATCTGCATAGAGAGATTATTTTCTCTCTTTTTTGCCAATTTGGATACCTCTTATTTCCTTCTCTTGTCTTATTGTTACTGCTAAGACTTCCAATACAATGTTGAATAAGAGAAGTGATAATGGGCATCCTTGCTTAGTTTCTGTTCTCAAAGGGAATGTCTTTAATCTCTCCATTGAGAACAATGTTGGCTCTTGGGTTTGCATGTATACTTTGTTAGTATGTTGAAGAAATTCTCCTCTAATCGAATTTTGTTGAGTGTTTTAATCAAGAAACGGTTTTGGATTTTGTCAAAGGCTTTTTTTGCATTGATTGATAGGATCCTGTGGTTCTTGTTCTTTGCTTTGTTAATTTGATGAATTACATTGATTGTTTTTCTTATGTTGAACCATCCTTGCATAACTGTTATGAATGCCACTTGGTCGTGATGACTTATTTCTTTGATGTATTTTGGATTCTATTGGCCAGGATTTTATTCAGGATTTTTGCATCTATGTTCATAAGATATATTGGCCTGGCCGGGCTCGTGCGCTAATCGCCTGCAGGCGGTCGTGCGGAGCGCTAGCGGTCGATGGCCCCGACGGGAGGCTCGCTGCTGGCACTCGGAGCTCCGCGTCCTGCCTGAGCGCGCTCTCGCCTTTCCAGCCGCTACCCCAAGGACATGCCTGCGTAGCCGCCTCCTCCTGGGTTAGGATTTACTGGAAGGTCTTCTTCATGGAAGCGATGTCCCCGCAGCAAGAGACTCTCGGAGGGCAGCCGGGGCGCTCCACTACCCTGACAGGAGTGTCTCGGCTCGCCGAGGGCCTGAGCACCAAGAAGGTGAGGACGTTGAGCGGTGTTCGCAGCCCCCTCCCCTGCCGCAGCCCCCGTTCTATGCGCGCGCACTCCCCTGGCCACCGCAGCGCGTGAGCCGCGCGCCTGGGAGATTTAACGCTAGAGGTTCGCGAGCCTTGTTGCTTGTCCTGGGCCGCTCCAGCCTTCCCCACACCTAATCCCTCCTTGAGCGGCCGCCGCAGCCTCCCTCCGCGTCTCCCTCCGCCGCAGGATCTGCCGCGCGGCACCTCCCGCAGTCGAGGCGCGCGTGCATGGGTTGAGAAATCGCCTTTCTCTGGCCCCTCTGAGTGCTTTGGCCCTCCGTCCCCTGAGGTCGCATGGGTGCACTGGCCCCTGGCAGGGTCACCTCGAGGCTGTCAGGGTGGAGAAAACCGCGCTAAGGAAGGTAGGCTAGGCGGCCGGGCTGCGGCGCCGCCAGGCTCAGCCCCCTCACCTGCCCGCAGGCGGCGCGGCTGCTCCGCAGTGTTTTGGGGACGGGGGGGTGCCCTGCGCCTTAGACGATGTCCCAGAATGATCCAGCAGCTCCGGGGTGGTGATCACAGTCGGAGACGCTGCTGCTTGGAGACATGGAGGTTTGATTTGGTTTTGCACTGGGCAGGGCGAGGGACTGTGGACTGTCGCAAAGCCAGGGCAAGTGGGGGGGGGGGGTCTTAGCCCGACGATCATTCTCCTCCATCCTACCCTAAGCTTCAGAGAAATCAGGGTGTCGGTGTCAGCTTGGGGGCGGCATGTGTGTTCCCTGTCAAAGCCAGGAGGAGGGATGCATGCGGTCGGCAACTTGTAGCGTTCCATTCCAATAAACACCGCCACAGTGCGGCGTGGTGATTCCCACCGGGGTCAGCTGTCTCTGGAACGGCGCCCTGAGCAAGTGCACGTGGGCCCCAGCTCCTGGCCTCTGCTGTGAGGCTCCCTTGAGGACAGATCTGGAGGTTTCCAGCCATGTCTGCCCTCTCCCTTTCCCCTTCCCGCCCCCAACCTTCACATACTGGAGCATTTTCATTCTGTGCTCTGGTAGTGCCTTCCCAATTTCTCTGGAGACAGGTTGAGATTTAGAGGGGACTATCTAACCCTTCCTTAAGAAATAGCGCCAAGAATTGCTTTTATATCTCTAAAGCCTTCACGGGTTACTCGGGCTGCCCTACCTATCTGGATCTTACAACCTTTCATAAATCTTCCCACCAGGATTCTGGGTTGTTTAGAGGTCAGCAGAAGAGGGGCGAGATTGGTAGCCGAGGGTAGTGAGCTCCCAGGGACCTTGACTGTGTCACCTAGCCATCTGGGGTGCCCGTGAACTTGATGATGAATAGGCTGTAATGCAGACTCAGCTTTTGATATATGGAGGCTGCGGTTTGCCCTTGTTGCATTTCCCCTTCAGAGACCAAAAGGGGGTGTGGGGGGAGAGTGTGTGTGTGTAAGTAATCAAGTCTTCCAAATAAAACGTGAATTTACTAAAAGGAGACACAGGACACAGCCTTTGGGAAGGTAAATTAATGTAATTCACATAAACTTTAAAGCAGTTCCATGTTGTTAAATATCAAGGATTGGAAAGAATCAAAAATTATATTTTTTACGTAGTTCTCTCTCTCTCTCTCTCTTTTACTAACTGTAATTAAGCAGGCTGGCAAAGGGAAAGGGCATTAAAGACTATATTGATAATTTATCAGTAGTTCTTGTCAAATAAGCAAATTATTTCTCTTTTTCCCATGCTTTTTTTCCTAGCATAGTCATTGTCTTTAAGCAGCTTTCCTTCATGATAAAATGTAATGGGCTGCCATATTACGAAACTAGTCTTTGCCTTTTTCTTTTATAAAAGATTTAAGTGTTACCAATCTAGTCTTCCTACACAGTATCTTAGCCTCTTGAGAGTTTGAGAAACTGTTTTCAATAATTTTTAAAGAAAGCCTTGTTTTAAATATTAACACAGTGTTTAATTTCAGACCTCCATATCAGCAAGAATCCCAAATATGGTACATAGAGTCATAGCCATTCCCCTTATGGTCCATGATTTTCACACATCCTGCATACTTACCAAATTGACCTTCTGTTTCATCTTGATACCGTGGTGCTTCTGAGTAGTATTAGCGCGCGTTGTGGCACTTTTTCTATAGATGCTTTCCACATGGTTATAAAGTGTTAAACTATTAACCAAAAGCTTGATGGTTCAAAGCCACCCTGAGGTCCTTTAGAAGTCAATATCTGATGATCTGCTTACAAAAGGTCATGGCCTCGAAAACCCTGTGGAGGGCAGTTCTAGTCTGCACATATGGCTTCTGTGATTTGGAACGGACTTGCCTGCAGGGAACAATCAGGCTTACATCTTAGTGAATAGTAAAGGCAAGGGTTGTTTTGTTTACTTATTTCTATTTATTTTTGTTTCATTTCTATTTTGGATCTCCCTTTCTGTCCATTGGGACCCAATAGGTTCTGACTCGCAACTGACCTCCCAGCATGTTTCCAAGGGCACAGTCCTAGCTACCCATATTTCTCCCTCCTGGTGACTGGTGGATTCTGACCACCAGAGAAATGTGGCCTTTAGGTTAGAAGCATAGTTTTTTATGAAATGAGTCATAAGAGTTTTGACTTATTTTGGTTATTGATAGAAAATTTATTTCTGATTGAGTGGTTGAAAATTTTAAAGGCACAGGTTTGTTGGATTGTACAGAATAAATGTATTTACTTGACTTGTAGCTCTTTTCCTGTCATCTCTGTTCTCTTGAAGTAAATTACTTTTATTTCCATTTCCTTATTTGTAAAATGGAAATTAACAAGGTGTCAGTGAAAATGCTTTGAAAACTATACAGATTCTTTTCATTCTGTGAAAGTTGTTGTTAGGTGCCACTTAGTTGAATACAAGTCCTAGAGACTCTGTGAACAGCAGATCTGAACCCTTGTTCTATCCTGTGTCGTCCTCATCATCTCTGACACACTTGAGCGTGTTGCTGTCTCATTGAGGATCTTTCTCCCTTTTATTGACCTTCTGCCTTTGCAAGCATGCTGTCCTCTCTCCAAGGAATAACCTTTTAGCAATATGCCCAAAGTGGGTGAGAAGAAGCTTTTTCATCTTTGCTTCTACAGAGCAAAAGTGGCAGCACTTTCTCCATGATATAACTGTCTGTTCTTTTGGCAGTCCATGGGATATTCAGTACTCTTTTCAAGGTGATATTAAAGCGACTTTAAAAAAAAATAAATAATAGCACAACAGTATCACTTTTAGTTGTCTTATCAACCCTGAGGCACATGATTTGAATCCGCAAGCCGATCCGCAGGAGGAATATAGGCAGTGTCCTCCTGTGTGAATCAAAGCCTCAGAAAACCACTGGAGGATCAGCTGTGAGTTGGTTCCACCTCATCAGATCATTTCTTCTTCTGACTTTCTAGTCATCATCCAGCCCTCTGACACATAGCAAGTAATTGTGAAGACCATGGCCTGTATCAGGCACACATTAGTCTCCAGACTGACATTATTACTCTTTAGTACTCTAGAGAAGTTCCTGACAGAAGACTTTCCCAGTGCAATTTGTATTTTGATTTCCTGACTACTGGTGCCCGGAGTGTTCATTGTGGAACCAAGCAAGGGCTGAACTGCCAGGAGAATAAACAGGTTGTCCTGGAGAGGGTGAAAGCAATCTGTTCCCTGGAGGCAAGAATTTTGAAGCACTGTCTCACATACTTTGGGCATGTGGCCAGGAGGGACGAGTCCTTGAAGAAGAACATCATGTTGGAAGAGTGGAAGGACAGTGCAGAACAGGTGTTATGTCTCTGAAAGTCATATTTAGGATAAAATGTAAATTTTTATAACATGAGGATGAAGGACAATCTTATTTTTACACGTTGGCCTAAAAAACAGTGTTTGGTTTGTTTGGTTTTTTTCTTTTCCCCAAAGATGGTATCACCCAGGTTAAAATGAAGAGACTAAAAACATATGAGTCACAGATACCCAAATCGTTAGTACAGTTGTTGCCCTTGGTTCTGCAGTGACTGTCTTGAAGCTGTTTATCACACTGTCATTTCAACAGGCCCTCAGGGTTGTGCTTTAAAAAAAAAAAAATTAGATTTCGGGTCGTACTTTTTTTAAAAAAAATTATATTTTAATGAAAGTTTATAAAGAACTTGAATTTCCATTAAGTCGTTGTTGCACATTTTCCTCCCTGTCCCCCCTCCCCCTCAATTCACTTATTTCTTTGGGAAAAAAAGTTCTTTCATTGTTATACAGCACCCCTGCCCCCAGACCACTTCACTATGCAACTCTTATTCTGGACTCTTGTCATGCCAATAATACCTAATCGGGACAGAAGGTTGATCCTGTCCAGGAGACTCAGAAGTGAGATAATTTATGGCACCTACAGGAAATGAGATCCTCTTCAACTTCAGTAATTTTAGGTGTTTGACTCTCTCACAGTTCTTAAATTTCTCTTCAGTATGTAATGGCTGGTCTTTTCAAAAGTAGAGGGAGGCATCTTGTGCTTTGGAGGAACACAGTATTTACCAAAAAGACACCTTTGTAAAACTTGACATCCTAGATGTTATCAGCAGATTTTTGAGTTGCCTCTAAACTGTAATTAATAAAAAGAAAGAAAATGTCAGAATTGTGCATGTATGTAAGTACCCACATAGATACATTCTCTCACATACACAGTACTTCGAGAAAATGTATGCCATGATATTATTATGATTTGATAGGAGTTTTGTGACTCTTCATGTCTCCTAAAGCTTCTTGGAAAAAAGTATCTAAAAATACGCTGTCACATGGAAACAATTGTAGAGGGTTGACAAGGACAGTACAGAAGGGAGAGGAAGCAGAGATTAGCAAATGGATGGGGAGGATGAAGGGAAAGGGAGGGTAAGTGAGGTTTGAATAAGGCATTGTAAATAATGGCACTGTACTATCATAATTAATGTGGGTTTTTTCTTTATAAAGATACAGTTCAGTAGAGTGATTGTACATTGTGATTCTATCAACTGCAGAAGTCTCGGAAGTAAGCAGT